TTTGGCATCCAAAGAAAAGTTGTCAAACCTAAAACATGTTGAATTAGGTTTGTGCGAAGATTGCATTTACGGGAAACAAAAGAGAGTTAGTTTTTCAAAGGTGGGAAGGACACCAAAGAAAGAGAGGCTGGAACTAGTGCATACAGATGTGTGGGGACCAGCTCCTGTAACTTCTCTAGGAGGCTCACGCTATTATGTCACCTTCATTGATGATTCCACAAGAAAGGTATGGGTTTATTTTCTGAAAAATAAATCTGATGTGTTTGTTACCTTTAAAAGATGGAAAGCTGAAGTTGAAAATCAGACAAGTCTAAAGCTAAAATGTCTGAAGTCTGATAATTGAGGAGAGTATAATAGCCAAGAGTTCAAAGCATTTTTCTCAGAGAATGGGATCAAAATAATCAAGACACTTCCTGGAATATCGGAACAAAATGGCATTGCTGAGAGGTTGAACATAACCCTGAATGAACGAGCCAGAAGTATGAGAATACATTCTGGATTGCCGAAGTATTTTTGGGTCGAGGCTGTTAACACGGTAGCTTACCTCATAAATAGAAGACCCTCTGTACAGCTGAATTTTGAAATTCCTGAAGAGGTATGGACATGAAAGGAGGTAACTCTCTCACATCTGAAAATTTTTGGTAGTGTTGCTTATGTGCATGTAAACTCTAGTGATAGAGATAAGCTTGATCCTAAAGCCAAAAAATATTTCTTTATTGGCTATGGTGATAATAATTTTGGTTATCGGTTTTGGGATGATCAGAATAGAAAGATCCTAAGACACATGAATGTCACATTTAATGAAAATGTGATGTACAAGGACAAGCTTGAAGTAGAACCAACCAGCACCAGCAAACAGACATCCGAAACAGTTGAGTTAGAAGAAATCTCAGAAAATAAAGTGGCTAGAGGGATTACAACTGATTCTGAAATTGAAGATGACGAACTAGAAGCCGAATTTGAAGAAGAACTAGAAGCCGAACCTGGATCAAAACCAGAACCGGAACCAGAGATAGAATCAAATGCAGAACCAAATCTGGAATCAGGACCTGAATCAAATTCGGGTTCAGTTACTCATGAACCTATATTGAGGAGATCTAAAAGAGTCATGAATGATCCAGATAGGTTAACTCTCTCTCTTCACTATTTACTTTTAACTGATGCTGGAGAACCAGAGCATTTTATTGAAGCAATGCAGGTAATAGACTTTGATAAGTGGAAGCTAGCCATGAAAGAAAAGATGAATTCTCTTCATAAGAATAAAACATGGATACTTACGGAGTTATCAAAAGGAAAGAAGGCATTGCAGAACAAGTGGGTGTACAGAATTAAGGAAGAGCATGATGGTAAGAAGAGATACAAAACACGATTAATAGTAAAAGGCTTTCAGCAGAAGGAAGGAATTGACTACACCAAGATCTTCTCTCCTGTAGTCAAATTAACTACTATCAGGTTGGTGCTAAGTATCGTAGCTGCAGAAAATTTGCATTTGGAGCAGCTAGATATTAAAACCGCTTTCTTGCATGGTGAACTTGAAGAAGACATCTACATGAAGAAACNACTACACCGAGATCTTCTCTCCTGTAGTCAAATTAACTACTATCAGGTTGGTGCTAAGTATCGTAGCTGCAGAAAATTTGCATTTGGAGCAGCTAGATATTAAAACCGCTTTCTTGCATGGTGAACTTGAAGAAGACATCTACATGAAGAAACCTGAAGGTTTTCAAGTTTCTAGTAAAGAAACCCTTGTGTGTAAGTTGAAGAAGAGTTTGTATGGTTTGAAACAAGCTCCCCGATAATGGTACAAGAAATTTGATGGATTCATGCATAAAAATGGTTTCACACGATGTGAGATGGACCATTGCTGTTATATCAAAAATCTTGATGAATCCTATATCATTTTACTGTTGTACGTTGATGATATGCTAATTGTAGGATCTAGCATAAATGAGATCAATTTGGTTAAGCAACAACTGGCGGAGGAGTTTGAAATGAAAGACTTAGGACCGGCTAAGCAAATGCTTGGGATGAGGATTAGCAGAAACAAGTCGGAAAGAACCTTAAAGGTGTCTCAAGAAAAGTACATACAGAAGGTACTAGCAGGTTCAATCTTCATGATGCAAACACCAGAAGCACTCCACTCGGAAGACATCTAAATCTGTCAAAGGACTAATTACCTAACGCAGATGAAGAAAGGAAGTACATGTCCAAACTTCCGTATGCTTCAGCAGTAGGAAGTTTGATGTATTCTATGGTTTGCTCTAGACCTGACATAGCCTATGCAGTTGGAGTTGTCAGTAGATACATGTCAGATCCATGAAAGAAGCATTGGGAAGGTGTAAAATGGATATTGTGATATCTCAAAGGCACATCAGGTATGACACTTTGTTTTAAAAAGAGCAATATTATCTTACAAGGTTTTGCTGATGCAAATTTAAGCGGCGATCTGGATAGTCGAACAAGTACCACGGGCTACGTGTTCACCTTGGGTGGTACTGCTGTTAGTTGGATGTCCAGACTTCAGAAAAGTGTTGCTCTATCTACCACTGAAGCAGAGTACATGACAATCTCAGAAGCTGGAAAAAAGATGATTTGACTCAAGAATTTTCTTAAAGAGCTAGGTAAAGAGTAGGACAATTGTGAGCTTTTCAGCGATAGCTAGAGTGCAATTCATCTTGCCAAGAATTCAGTGTTTCATGCAAGATCGAAGCATATCCAGTTGAGGAATCATCATATCCGAGAGTTGATAAATGAAGGAACTCTTTCCCTGCAGAAGATACTAGGATCAAAGAACCCGTCAGACATGTTGACCAAAGTTGTCGGTGTTGACAAACTAAGGCTGTGCGCTGCCTCAGTTAGCCTTCAAGACTGATAGCGTGAAGGCACCACCAGAAAATAGCAATTTTTTTTCTTTCTTGATGTAACTTAGGTTTGAGGGGGAGATTGATAGGAGCACATCTATTATTGTATGTGAAAGTAGACAAAACAAAAGAAAGAAAAATAAAAAAGAGATGAAAATATGATGTAAGCGCTTACATCGACATTCTTGTGATGTAAGTGCTTATCTCGGCATTCTTATGATGTAAGCGCTTACATCGGCATTCTTATGATGTAAGCGCTTACCTCGGCAGGGCATTCAAATGACTATAAAGAAGGGTCTACATTTTCATTTGTAGATCATCCCAAACTTCTTCTTTCTCTCTTTAATTAATAAAGAGCTATTATTTGTGTGGTCGTGGAGTAGACAAAAATTGCCGAACTACGTAAATCTTGTCTTGTCTTGTGCAATTTATTGTTTTTCTCTCTTAAATATTCCTTTTCTTCTATTAGCTTGACACGCTTCCCAACATATTGATGAAATGAATGAGACAACTTTCTCGTATATTCTTTCTTTTCAACCTTACAATCTCTTTCCGTTCTCAAAAAGGGCAGACTCCTCCTTGTTTACTATCTCCTCCTATTTATAGGAGACATTCCTCAAAAAACCTTAAAAAGTACAACACAAAGAATATTTCAAAAATATATTCTTTCTGTCTTTTTCGGAGTTGACACTAACAACCCTACTTTACTTCGGCTGCTCGCCTTTGGTCGTCATCCTCTGCCACAACGCCGTCAGTCGCCACATTGTAATGACTCCGTTCTCTAACCTCGCTTACCCGTCGTCGTTGTAACCAAATATGGACCAATACAATCATAACATATTTTTTCTTTTCCATTTACAGTAAAGAGACGAACTTGAATTAAAAAGGCTCCTTTGATCCTGAAGTACGAAGAAAATTTTCTTTTTTTCCAATTTGAGTAGATGTTCAGAAAGTTCATGTGCTTTTGTCCTCACATAATCATTAAATGACTCTGGAAATGGGACTTTAGCTAAGGGGTATTACCAGAGTAGCTAAATTACCTACCAGTAACTTCAATTATTATTAACGAAAGGAGTAGATTCAAATGCGTCAAACGTCGAAATAAATACAATTGAATTCAAAATGTTCAAGAAGGGATGGGGGGTCCTGACTTTTTCCCAATTTGGTTGAGTTATAATAGAAGCTCTACAGTACTATTGCTAGTGTTAAAAGTAAAAACGTAAATAAACAAAGGGAAAAAGGAAAAAGATTAACTTGTGCAATACTTATAACTAGTTTCTTGGCTCCAAAATCATCATGATTTTATTGTGTTTTTACAAAATATTAATGAAAGAAATATTAAGAACCTTTGGTTTTTTGAATATAGGATCATAGTAGCCCCTACATATGTTGCTTTTAGAACGCAACTAAGCAACTATGCGTAGCAAAATATTGTTGGTATATTCTGAATTGTAATTCCTTATTTCAAACTTAAAATTGTACTCTAGTTGTTATTCTTTTTCGTTTCAAGTTGACAGTAAAGTGACAAACTTGAAAAAAATAAGATTCTTCTTTCCTCAAGTACGAAAGAATTTTTTTTTCTAATTTAGAATAAATTCCAGAGAGTTTCATGTGCTTTTGTCCTCAAAAAATATACTAATAGACAGCCCTATACACTAAGCCCCGCTACGTGCAGCATCCGGATCACAAGAGTCTATTGTACGCACCTAATCTGTATTTTTACAAGAGACTATTTTCACGGCTCGAATTGGTGACCACTGTTTTTGTCCTCACATAATCATTAAATACTCTTTAAATGGTTAGCTCTAGCCGTATCATTACAGCTAAATTACGCAGCAAGCAGTAACCTTCAATTATTACCAACCAAATTAAGTAGATTCAAATGCGTCAAACATCACTAAATACGCAATTAAATCTTCAAAATGTGGAAGAAAGATGTGGGGGTCCTTGCAATTTAGAGGGTGTTTTAGGGATAAGGCATTTAGGTGCTCCCAAGCTCGGAATCTTAAAATATGTCTCATAAAATACTGAGTTGTATGACTGACAAATTTCAAGAACCTTTTCGTATTCATTTGTTGGTAGTGAAATAGTGTCCCCCTCCCGCACCCATTATGCCAAGTAGGGGCCAAGGACCCCCACTCAAGACTCATTGAAGACAGTGTTGTTTTCTTGAACCTGTACTTGTATTTGCTTGTTTCTCACTATCACATTACACTAAGAAAATTTATGGGGATTACAAAAAAATATTTCTTTATCTTCACGAATATATTTCGTATTCTACCATGAATCCTCTCTTCATGTTCCCAACACCTGCTTTTAGTATTCTCTTTCATCTTTATGCTTCCGACTTTCAACATCCAATTCAGTACCCTCTTTAATGGAGTAGTAGAGTTGTCATAATTGTATATAGGTCTTTTCTCCAGTATTTGTTAATACACTCATATCAACCACTTGTTCATTACACATCCCATTTCATTTCTCTTCCACTGCATTTCAAAGTACTGGCCTTTTTGTAATGGCCATTAGGTTTCTTTATACCACTGCCATTGTCTTTCTTTTCTGTTTCTTTGTTTCCAATGCAACCCTACAAAGATTTTCAGAAGAGGACCCAGAAAGACAAAGTCTGTTTTCTTTCAGGAGTTCTCTTGAAAATCCACATATTCTGTCTACATGGACCACCTCAACTTCACATTGTCACTGGAATGGTGTTTTTTGCAAAAATAGCCAAGTTGTTTCCCTCAAGCTCTCTTCTTTATCACTCAAAGGACCCATTTCACCCCACATTGCTACTTTGACTCAACTAAGGTTTCTTGACCTTTCTGGTAATTCTTTGACCGGAAAAATTCCAGCCCAACTTGGTAACTTGACTCAGCTACAAGTCTTGGCTCTTGGCAACAACTTTCTCTCAGGTTCTCTCTCTCCAGCACTCTTCACAAAGCTTCAATCTTTGGCTTCTTTTGATGTGTCTAATAACACCCTTTCTGGTTCTATTCCACCTGAAATTGGGAAATTGAGAAACCTTAAGAATCTTTACATTGGGCTTAACAGATTTTCCGGCCAGTTGCCACCAGAAATTGGTGAACTTTCTAATCTCCATAATTTCTATGCTGCTTCATGTTCACTTGAGGGTCCATTGCCAGAATCCATCTCCAAGGTGAAATCTTTGACCAAACTTGACCTTTCTTATAACCCATTGAAGTGTTCTATCCCAAAAGCAATAGGCGGTCTTGAGAATTTGACTTTCTTGAACTTAGGTTACTCTGAGATCAATGGTTCAATACCCTCTGAGCTTGGAAAGTGTAGAAAGTTGACAACAGTGATGCTTTCTTTTAATTCACTCACTGGTTCTTTGCCTCAAGAGCTTTCAGAGTTGCCTATTCTATCTTTTATTGCAGAAAGGAATCAGCTTTCAGGTCCATTGCCTTCTTGGCTTGGAAAATGGACACAAATGGATTCCCTTTTACTTTCGAGTAATCGGTTTACTGGCAAAATTCCAGCTGAGATAGGGAACTGTTCTTTATTGAATCATATTAGTCTCAGCAGCAACTTACTCTCTGGTCCAATACCAAAAGAGCTTTGTAATGCTGTGGCACTCACAGATATTGATCTTGATCACAACTTTCTCACAGGCAGTATTAAAGACACATTTGTAAAGTGTGGTAATCTGACTCAGTTGGCATTATTAGATAATAGTATTACTGGGGTGATTCCAGAGTATTTATCAGAGCTTCCTTTGATGGTTCTTGATTTGGATTCCAACAATTTGACAGGTTCTATTCCAGCAAGTCTCTGGAATTCTGCTAGTCTAATGGAGTTTTCTGCTGCAAATAACCACTTACAGGGTACTTTATCTATAAAAATTGGTAATGCTGTGTCATTGCAAAGGCTAGTTCTTAGTAACAACAAGATAAGTGGTGTTATTCCTAAGGAGATTGGTAATTTAACTTCTCTCTCAGTGTTGAATTTGAATTCCAATCTTCTTGAAGGTTTCATTCCTGTTGAATTGGGGGATTGTATCTCTCTTACTACATTGGATCTTGGGAATAACCGGCTTCATGGGTCGATCCCAGTGACACTTGTGGATCTGCCTCAGCTACAGTGCCTGGTTCTTTCCCACAATGAGCTTAGTGGGGCTATTCCTTCCAAGATTTCCAAGTATTTCCGTCAAGCAAGCATCCCTGATTCAAGTTATGTGCAGCATCATGGTGTCTATGATCTATCTCATAACAAGTTGTCTGGTTCGATACCTGAAGAGCTAGGGAGCTGTGTTGTTATAGTGGATCTTTTGCTCAGCAATAACATGCTATCCGGTGATATACCAGGATCACTTGCCCGCCTAGTGAATCTCACTACATTAGACTTAACTGGGAATTTGTTGACAGGCACCGTTCCAGAGGAATTCGGCTACTCACTTAAGATGCAAGGCTTTTATCTTGGGAATAACCAGCTCACAGGTTCAATACCTGGAAGCATTGGGCAAGTAGGTAGTTTGGTGAAGCTAAATTTGACTAGCAACAAATTTACCGGTCCAATACCATTAAGTTTTGGGAACTTAAATGGGCTGACACACTTAGACTTGAGCTCAAATGTGCTCGATGGTGAACTTCCTCCCTCTCTATCAAGGATGTCAAACCTAGTTGGCCTTTATCTTCAGCAAAACAGGCTTTCAGGTAGTCTGGATCAGCTGTTCTCAAACTCTGTTGCTTGGAGACTTGAAGCTCTAAATTTGGGTACTAATTCCTTTACTGGGAACTTGCCACCATCTTTGGGAAACATGTCGTACTTGGCTTTTCTTGATCTCCATTACAACAGATTAACGGGTAAAATTCCAATTGAGCTTGGAAATCTTGTGCAGCTTGAGTATTTGGATGTCTCTGGCAACAGTCTTTATGGCCAAATACCTGAAACAGTATGCACCCTTCCCAATTTGGGTGTGTTAAATTTCATGGATAACAAACTGGAAGGAGCTATCCCGAGAAATGGAATTTGCCAGAACCTTTCAAAAGTTTCAGTGGCAGGGAACAAAGATCTCTGTGGGGGAATCGTAGCTCTAAAATGCCCTGCCAAGAGTTTTATTAAAAGATCATCGATGCTTAATGTTTGGGGAATCTTGTCAGTTGTGGCTGGGACTATATTGATTACTCTTACTATTGCCATTGTGTCAAGGATATGGATTAGTAGAAGCAGCGGAAAAAGTGATCCTGAGGAATGTGAGGACAGCAAAATGGACAGTGATGATCAGCACCTTTATTTCTTAGGCAGCAGCAAATCAAAAGAGCCTCTTAGCATCAATGTGGCCATGTTTGAGCAGCCCCTTCTAAAGCTGACATTGGTTGATGTTCTTGAAGCCACCAACAACTTTTGCAAGACTAAAATTGTCGGTGATGGAGGGTTTGGAACTGTCTATAAAGCTACTTTACCTGATGGTAAAACAGTTGCAGTTAAGAGGCTAAACCAAGCAAAAACTCAAGGTCACCGTGAATTTTTAGCTGAAATGGAAACTCTGGGCAAAGTGAAGCATCGAAACCTTGTGCCCTTGCTTGGATACTGTTCTTATGGTGAAGATAAAGTTCTTGTTTATGAGTACATGGTTAATGGGAGCTTGGATCACTGGCTGAGAAACCGTAGTGGAACCCTTGATGTGCTGAATTGGAGCAAACGTCTTAAGATCGCAGTAGGTGCTGCACGTGGTCTAGCTTTCCTTCATCACGGATTCACACCCCACATTATTCACAGGGACATAAAGGCAAGTAATATCTTGCTCAACGATGACTTCGAGGCACAAGTTGCAGATTTTGGGTTGGCAAGGTTGATCAGCGCCTGTGAGACGCATGTAAGCACTGATATTGCTGGTACATTTGGGTACATTCCTCCTGAGTATGGGCAGACATGGCGATCCACCACAAAAGGAGATGTTTATTCTTTTGGTGTGATTCTGCTTGAACTGCTGACAGGGAAAGAGCCGACAGGTCCAGATTTCAAAGATGTGGAAGGCGGAAACTTGGTTGGTTGGGTACTTCAGAAGATGAAGGGGGGGCAATCAGTTGATGTGCTGGATCCAACAATACTTGATGCAGATTCTAAGCAGATGATGCTTCAGGCATTACAGATTGCTGCATTATGTCTCTCGGATAATCCAGCTAGGCGGCCGACCATGCTCTATGTCTTCAAGTTCTTGAATGGAATCAAAGAGGACTAAACCATCACATTCTGTTATCTGGCTAGTTATCTTTGCACAAGTAGTTACTTAAAGTTTAGGTTGAATGGAGTTAATCCTGCACATTTCAACTAAGCATATGTTAATATTCCAGGTCCTAACCATTAGTTTCTGATTGCCTAATTCTGTAACATAAGTCTTTTAATCATTATGGGCCATTTCCCTTCGGCCTTGTTTCGGAATGTGAAGTCATTACATTTAGCACTTGAGATCCCAGTTATTGTCGACAAAGTTGAATGGATATTGTCACCTGAATCATCTTGTGGAAGATTGTTGTAAATTTGCTTTAATTCAGTAGTCATAGTTCTCTTGAATAAGATCAATTTAAATCTATGATAAATCTCAAGACAGGTTCTCCAATAATTGGTCATTAGCCGACTACAGAATGTTCTTTTGCATAATTAAATATTAATGTCCATAAGATAATCTACATTTGGATTATGGTGTGCATGTGCTAAATATTGACCTGTGAAGGATCAATGCATGTGTGAGGGGATTTGAAATCTAATTCGGAATTTCTTGAATTGGTTCAAAGGACAAAAACAGGAAAGACAACAAAAAATTAGTGAGCTAGTTGCAGTGAATTGCTTTTAGATGGACCTTAGCTAAGTTGTTTAATTTTTTGTCTTATAAGGTCTGGAGCTATTCGTGGTACATGTGCTTAAAGGATTATGAATGTTACATCTGACAGAAAGTCGAAAACATTGAAAATAAACGGCCATTCTTTAATACTATCAAAGAGGTGAGTGAGGCTCATGAAACTGTTTTCTGGTCAACAACTAACTTTCACGTCTCCCATTAATTTCCTTTACCTGTACCAGAAAATTGGGGAAGGTGGAGCATTTACGCTAATACACAGATGAAGAGGAATTTCCGAAAAAAAAGAGCAAATTAATAGCATTGAAATATTGTGTGTTCAATATGACAAAAAACATTTTCTTGAAAAATGATTTTTTACAGTCATTTTCTAATGCGTGGTTATTCTTTGAGTCTACATAAAAAGTTTGAAGATAGAATGAACTATTCCACAAGACAAGAAAATGAAGTGGTTAATCCAGTGAGTCAATTTACAATACGATGCATCTGTGAAATAGGACTATGATCTGCCTTGACTTTAGGCTAGTCTGTGTATGAGCCAAAAAATATTTTTGATATAGGTAAGCCACGTCAGCATCATGATAGCCTTCATCGGCCACAACGTGTTATCAGTAAGATTTCAAGAAAGATCTACCCCAGGTCGAAGTGGCCTTGACGCGATGAAAGGTGCGGTCGAAGAGTCAGCAAAGATCAAAGTCGTGAAATCGTCGTAGATCAAGGTCGAGATCGAGCTTCTTAAACAGAGTTAAAATGGCTAATTTTAAGATAAGGCAAAAAAGAGAATATTCTAGTGGATATTCTCTGCACCTGTACTATTAAAGTTTTTAGGAATATGTTTCCTATAGATGGAAAGAGACACAATGATACGGGACATAATATTCACTTGTAAGAAAACACATTGATTTTATAGAAAGAATCTGGCCATATTACAAGCACACGATTTTTTTTTTACTAAGATTCTTGTCTAACTTTTTCACTTGATCCAAGAACAATCTAAGTGTTCAAAGTCCAATCAATCAGTCACCATTTTCAGAAAGAATATTCACAGATCTCACCCTTTTTCGAGTAACTCACACATTTTTATTTACTTAAATGTCATTTATTGCTACTTATTATTATTTAATGCAATCTTCCACCTTTATAGATCATTGAATACTATTATTATTCCTCACATCTATTGCCATTCGATCAAATATACATACTATATGTCATAAAATTAATAACTTTATCTTTTGGATATTAATATTAGCTGAGATTAATTATGTTTTATTTAAATCTAATTTGTTGATCCCACATCTAAATTTTGGGTCAAAAAGTTTGGTGTCGACTGTAGGAATTTCTTAGCGAATTTTTTAGTTTCCCTTAGATATAAACTCATGTGAGTCATTAACCTAACAAACCACAAGATATTCTTCTCTCTTTGCACGTACGGAAACCTACATGGCAGGTAACCAAGCAGATATGACTAAAGTGATAGGTGACTTCCTTGGCAACTTCATGAACGCCATCAACAAGAGTTGTTAAATGCTAGGCGATGACGTGACACCCGCTACCTCCCCTAGAAACGAGAGGTCTCCTCCCCCATTGTAGCATAACAAAACCAAATGGGAAAGGGGCCTTCACGTCCACAGGAGAAGGGACACCATCGGTCATGAAAAATATCCCCAAAGCATGGTTGACCGTTACATTAGTAAGCGTGCTCAACAAACCTGCTCCATGCACGACCATAGAGACCGTAAGAGCCTATACAATGCAACAAGCAAACGAACATGGCGACCAACCAGACCCTCCAACAACATGTATAACTCACAATGCTACTAACAATGCAGGTTACAACATCGCTGTTGTTCTAAAATGGATGGAAGAAATGGAGAATGAAAATAAAGCACTTAGAAATCAAATAAAAGGACAACAAAAACGAGTCGACAATATACCGGGTGCCCCTAAGCTACTGCCAAAGAGGGACGTGATCTAGGCCAACCCTGTACAACTATAAAGTAGCAAGAGAGGTCGAATCAGCTTTTACCCGAGAAGGTCGGGATCGATTTTCATAGGGAGCTAGAGATTGGAGTTGAGTTTCTATCTAAATTGGTGTTGCGTAATTGTTCCTAGTTGCACTTCTAAACATTGTTGGTTTTGATTTTACTTCTAATTTTATACCACTAAAATACTAAATTAGGCTAAGTAAAGCTAGGATTAAACTATTGGAAGTTGTTCAAATAGATAAAAGGCACTACGGTAGTGACTTTCTCCTAGGTGGTTAATTGACGAATTCTTAAGTCTAAGGCTAGATTGTCACATTTGGGGAGTATGATATAACCATTGCATGATTCTACTCACTCTATACCTCTCAGTAGTTCGAGTGATTTTGCCCGAATTGACTTTCTCAAGACCAATTGGGTATTTGTGCAAGCAATTGAGGTTCAAATTGGGTATTACTATCTCTAGGTTTAACCCTTTAATTGGGGCTATCAATCTCTTGAATACGCCCCAATTCCTTGTTGGACCAATTTCATAGACTTAGGTTCTCTTTCTCAAGAAGAGCCAAAGTCAACTAGGCATAAATTAGTGTTTGCAACCACTAATTCAATATTAAAACCCTAAATTAGTCTAAATATCAAACACCCATAGACAATCAAGCATTAAAACACAAGACCCATCAATTACCCACACTAGGTTTGAGCCACAACCCTAGCTAATGGGTCTAGCTACTCATGATTATGGAAGAAAACAAAGAAATAGATGAAGAAAAGTCCATAATAATTAATTACTAGATAAAACTTGAAGATTCAATGATGAAATTCAACTAAAATTACTCAAAAGGGAAAAGAAGAAGTGTTCACGAGCGCAACTCTGTCTCAAAATACAACTGATGACCTAAAAATGGAAAAATAAACTATTTATACTAGGCTGAAAATTCTGGACAAAAATACCCCTGTGGGGCTAGTGCGGACCGCACAAAATCATGTGCAGCCGCACTAAGGCTCTTGGCTAAATAATCTGCTCTCTGAAGTTGCCCAACGCGGACCACACAAAATGCTCTGCGGCCGCGGTGGCTTCTATTGCGGTCCGCATAAAATGGACCGCGGACCACATTGACCAGGTTCCTCCAAAATAGCACATCTCTGAACTTGATCTTTGCAGATCGCACAAAGTCGAGTGCGGCCGCAATGAAGTCAATTCGGTTCGCACAAAATACTCTGCGGCTGCATTGCCTGGCTGCCTGAATTTCACTCTCTCTGAACTTCATCTTTGCGGACCGCACAGAATGGTGTGCGGCCGCACTGATCCTGTTAGATTGAGCTTGGCCTTGTTCTTGGTATTTGTGCATGTTTCACTCCTTTTTGAGCTGGTTTTTGATAAATTGTCACCTTGTTGACCAAACCCTGCAATTAATTACAACATGTGAGTCTTTGGGACTATTTTATACACATTTCTAATCAAAACATAAGCAAGAAGGAGTGTAAATTGCATCATAATCCCTAATTATCAACTCCTCCAAACTTAAGCTTTTACTTGTAGTCAAGCAAACAAAATAAGACCCACCCCTTAAGAGTCAATCCAAGAAAATTCAGCCGACCTAAAGTGACCTCATATAGCATAAATTGGGACTAACAATTGCCCTCAATTCAAATGTATCATTAACAACATTCACTCTTTTAAATAGGGGTGGACATAAAATCCGAAAAACCGAATTTCGAACCGAACTGAATTAATTTGGTATTTCAGTTTCGGGTTTTTTTCGGTATTTCGGTCTAATTTGGTATTACATTTTCGATATTTCGGTATTTCAGTACGGTTCTCGGTATTAGAATCTTGAAATTTCGGTATACCGAAATACCGAATTACTGAATTTTTAAAGACTTTTTTAAGTTGGACCAATAGCTAGCTACCACACTCACTGCCCAGCACCCCAGCCCAAATATTTTTAATATAATTCCCAGCCCACTGCCCACTCCAGCGCCCCAGCACAACTGGCCAAGCCCACTCTCTATTCAATTAGGGTCTAAAGTCTAAACTCTAAAGATTAGGGCATTAGCATTAGGCAGTCACGAATGAACTCAGTTCTCACTCCTCACTCCTCAGAAAGTCAATTCCGATTTAGGGCGATAGTTTCACAAATTCCGGGCTAACGAGGACCAAATACAAAAAGAGATCGGATGTTGTTGCGATAGTTTCACAAATTCAGAAAGAGATCGACTGTTGTTTCAGAAGCTTGCTGGGACTTCAAAGAGATTGACTGCTGTTTTGTATTGTTAAGAAATTTTTAATATTGTTAATTGAGTGATACTTTAAGTGTTGTCTAAATAACGAACAATCTTGATTTTGTGGAAAAATGAAATCTTGATAATCTTCTTGCTGCTAGTTTTGAGATCTTTGAGAATTTTTACTTTTAAATGTATTTTTATGTTAAGCTGGAGGGGTTGTACTAGGTTCGTGCAATGTGGATATCTTTATTTTTGCCTAATTAGTTGATGGTTGTTTTGATTTCTTATTTGGGATATCCCATTAGAGCTGTTTTTCAAAGCTCAAGCTTATTCTGGATTTGTGTTGAAGTCAAGAATTTGGTTGAAAAGACTAAACCTTTTCTCTAGTATTTATCTTTTTAGCAAGTTAAAGTCACACATTTGGTAGGAAAGTCTTGACCTTTAGTGGAG